ATTGGGAGCACAGAACCTGGCTCGGTTCTGCCGAGGTCAGGGTTCTCTTTGTGTGGCGTACATATGCTTTTTTTCCCATGTATTTTGTCCAAGAATTATTTGACGGGTGGAACATGTACCGTACAACAAAACATACCTTCTAAATATAAAGCACATCTAACTGTACGATCCAGCACTAGGCAATCCTCTTTTAAACTGGGATCTCTTTAATGTATATTCATGTGCACGTGGTTTTTATTTGGCAGTCATCGTAGCATATATGTATAAATATTAATACTGTTATCACACCATTGCATGTATAGACCCGTATAATTCCAGTGACATAGGACTGTGGCATTTCAGAGTCACCGTTTTTATGGATCACTTTTAATCTGAATGAGTGACTGCACTTGAATCCTTGTCTCTGCTCCTCAAACCACCCCCTCCCACCCCCGCCACCCGAAACAGCAGACCAACACATATTTGTAAGTCACTTCGCCATGCCGGGATGACAATGGGGATTAGTGTGAAGGTTTTTAAAACGTTTCTCTTTTTTTTCTTGGAAAGTGGAGCTGCTTTAATTCTCCCTTATCGGCACCTACAGGATGCCTCGACGGCAGAATTTCCCCGACTGTCAATTAGAAAGGGGATCACAAACTTCACCAGTATAAATGTTCTAACACCGGTGTTACGTGAAGCTAATCCGGTGACAGATGTTCGCAGTTTTAATTCTCTGCTTTTCTTTTTTCCTTTTTGCTTTTTTTTGTCTATAATTAATTTATGTATCACTTATTTATTTATTTTTTCACCCACGCTAATCTTGCATGCCACTTTTGCGCCTTTTGTCACTCTTTCTGCAAATGCAGGTAATGTCACATATAAATTAGCAGTACGCGTTCCCGAAACAAGCGAGAGAGCCGGGGGTCGGGGTGTATAAAATGCACGGGGGATCTGAAAAATCCGGGTGCTGCTCGTAGATTTGTTTTGAAAAATGAATCGTCGGGCAACTTTTGTTTCCGAGCTTGATCCCGCCGCCGATCAGGTGTATCGGGGATTTCTGCTTACTCTGGTAGAAATGACTGTACATCAATGCTGGTGCGCGATCTCACATGGGCAGCCGGAAGGAGGAGACGCCTAATGGGAGCGCGCGCAATCCCGAACCCCCCAGCCCACCCCAGTCCTGTGACAGCTCCCGGCTTTTGTTCTCCCTCCCGACCCACTTTCTGCCGGGGATTTGTGACATGTTTCACAGCGTGATCAAAGCGGCCGCTGACACCTGATTAGGATGTAGCGCTTGTTTACAGCTGCCGGCGCGCAGGACCCCCGCACAACAAGGGAGACTTCAGCTCGGCTAATTAAATTTGCACCTGGGATACCGGGTGTGACAGGACCCGGAGTATATTTATTTATGCAGAGCCGTACATAGGCTACTGGAGTTGACATTTAGGAAGGTACACCCTTTACGCAGGTACCTTTGTATGGTGCCTTTGGTGTCGCCCATACTGCCGTCTTTATTGCGGTATTACGGTTTTCAGGCATAACAGCATTTTTTATTATTATGATTTGAACTTTCTTAAGACAATGGGCATTTTAATATAAGAATAAATATGAAACGGCTTAAACCTTCAATATTCTTTTTATCCGTCTGCTCAGTTTCTGTAAGCCCTCCTCCAATCAAGGACCCGGTGATCCTAGTCACCGAGTATCCCGCAATATCCGAGGTTTATGCATTTTGCACGTGTCTCGTTAAGCATGTTTATACCGAAACCAATACTTTTGATTTATAATTTTTATTATATACTTAAAAAGACCTTTAAAAAGTTGTTTAAAGATGATATTTTGAATTTGCTCTATGCTTTATTTAATGCTGAAGGTATATTCATGTATTAATATATTTAAAGACTGAACTTTCTACCTTAGACAGTAAGCTAATGTTATTCCCAGAGTGCAAATATTTCCATACAATCAGCTGGAGCCGCTTTATGTTTCACAGTATGCCCGTGTGTGATACTGCTTGAATTACACTGTTTTGAGTCTACATGTGGGGGAGCTACGGAACTGACCTGAGGTCAGCTGACTGCACTAATGCCGACAACTGTGGGTCTGTGTATGAAAGAGAAAGGTGCTTGTGTTTGTTTAGGAAGGATCTGCGTTTGTTTTTTGTGCTTGTATGTAAGTCAACTTGAATGTACTTGTGTGTTATTATGTGTGTGTGTGGTCCAGATATACCTTACCTTGTGGGGACCAAATGTACCCACCACGTGATGAATGCCATTTTTTAACCTTATGGGGACCAGTTTCCTTCTCCCCATAGAGGAAAACTCAATTTTCTAAAAAGCCGTGACTGCAATCAAAAAACTAAAAATGTCAGAAGTATTGTATTGCGTTTGGTCACTTATGATTATGGTAAGGGTTGGGTAGGTTGTCATAGTTAGCATTAGCATTTTTCCAATAGAAATGAAGGAGTGGTCCCCACAAAGATTTGATTACAGGTCTGTGTGTGTGTGTCTGTGTGTTCTCAGAGAGAGAGCTGTGGTAGGAGGAGAAGGATCTGTGATTTTTGCCCTCTTCCACCTACAATGCTGTGTCATACTATATTACACACGTTAGATTAAGTAATTATGCTGAGGCCTTGGACTACAAGTCTGATGAATGGTTTTCGAATCGCCCTTAATGGCAGGCTGACCCATCCTGTCTTAAGTATAATTTCTTGTTTCACCCGGGGCTCCCATCCTTGTCACTGCTTGGCTTCAGCAGGATCTGATATATATTTGTTCGCCTCTGTGAAATCGGGCTTGGGGGGGGGGGCTTTTCATGGTGGAGGGAAGCAGAGGAGCCAATCTGCTGGAAATATTTAAATCTGAAAAATAGAGGCATAATCTGACCCGGGCGTATGTTCAAACGGAGAACATTCCTGTTTCCCTACTAAGTGTCATTTGCATTGCGTGACCCTCAAAAAAATAGGAATACATTTTCATTTTGCTTTGGACGCTGCACGAATGTTTTCAGGCCTTATATGTTTTGAATTATTAATGAACCCATATCCTGACACAGCTGTTGTGGTTAAAACCTATAGCTGCTCGCTCAGTTCTGCCAGGTCGCCTCACATGACTCACGTGCGTTGCCACCGCCTCCTAACCTTTGACCTCTCGCCGCACGCCATCGTAACATCACAGGACCGGCCCGCCGAATGGGCCGCCTGACGGGCTTCCCCCTGGTCAAACGTGTCACGATGCAGCCACGATCTTGTAGTTTATTAACATTGCCGTCGGCTGGCACACCTGAAGCGACAGGCCAGGACCTGGGCTCCCGCGTGACACAGAGACAGGCTTCCCGGTAGCGGGAGATGGTCGATGCGGTGCGGGCTGTGGGGGCGTGTGGATCTCCACTGCGCGTGACAGAACTCCCTGGGCGCCGTCAGAGCTGATTATCCCCCTCGAGGGAGAGTCCAACCCCCATCCCCTCCACAGGATGCCATTATCACCAGAAGCACAGCGGAGGAAAGCTTGTGGGCTAAACACCCTCAGCAGTGAGAAGACAAGCCCAGGGGGTCTGGTGCATTGTGGGATGGCTGTTTGCAACGGGGATTATCAAAAATAAATGTACTGTAGATGGAATGGATGTTATTTTATAGTTATTGAGCACATATGTTCATTGCAACGTATAAGTGACTTCTGCTTGTTTTCCATTTGTACGATGAATCCTTATACTCAAGCTTTTCATACTAATTACTTCACACAATGGTACAATAGCACTGCCCCTGCCTGCCACGACACCTGCTTTTGAATCTGTTTTAAGGCCAGTTTCGTTCACACATGTGATGCCTGCTGCCCTGAACTCTCCATTAGCATTCCTTTCGCCTTTCCCGGTAACTTCCATCTGACCTTGAAAGGCTTTGAATGTTTCTCATCAGCGGCCCCTTGCTGGCCCTCACGTTCGGGCCATGGTTTAAACGTAAGATCTGTGGGCGTCGCCCTGTAGCGCATTCATAGCTTTATGCACCGATTCCGTTTTACCCAATCAGGCCTCTCCGCCGTCTGCCAAGGTCTGGCCATGCAGGGCCGGCTGGACACGTGAGGGGTGAGGTGGGGATGGTCCCCACCTGTCCCTTTCTCTGTCCACTGGGAGATCTTGAAGACTTCCCAGGCAGTCACTAGGTGGCATCTGGACATCATTGTAAGCGAGGCTTCGCCCTTCATACCCCCCAAACACGCGTGTGGGCCCCACCTCCCCGCTCCAGTGAACTTTATATGTCAGAGCATTTGTTTTATTGTGAAAGGGTGCAGTGTAATATATTCACTTCCGCTCCAGCCAGTCATTAAACACTTCAGAGCATGTCCTTCCCCACTACCGCCCTGTCAGCTGGGCCCATTCTCTGTAATAATTAGCAGAATTGAACGCTAACAGGCGAATTGGAAAGGACCTGTCGATTATGGGGACTCGTTAATATACGGGGGAAAATGAGCATCCCACTGAAGTGAACCAGAGGCAGAGTTTGCACGTCCGAACTCACTGCTTTCTCCACGGGTTCCATATTAACNTGTAAAATACACATTTTTTGCAAACTCCAACCTGGCTGTTCTCTGCTTCTCATTTATGAAGGGCTTCTTCCTTGCTTTATGGGACTTCAGTCCTGCTTCTAGGAGCCTGATATGAACTGTCCTAGCAGGGCACCTCACACCTGCACTTAATGTTTCCCATTCCTTTTGAAGGTCACTTGAGGTGATTCTACGATTCATGAGAAATTCTCAGATAAGTTAACGGTCATCTATGTCATTAGAAAGTCACTTTCTCCCTCTACCTGGCTGGTTTTTGGTCATTCCCAGAGTGTTCTGTTTCACCATGTTCTTGTGTACTGCTGTCCTAGAAATTTAAGCCTGGAAGCAGCCTGCCTTGCAGTGTAGCCTTCTGCCAGCAGAACCAGGATTAAACCAGGATTTAACAAGAGTGATCTCTTAATTTTTTCTAGAGCTAGTGTGTGTGTGTGTGTGTGTGTGTGTGTGTGTGTGTGTGTGTGTGTGCGTACAGACTTGTCCCAGACAACATTTCACTGTATTTGTACAGTGACAGTGAAGGTATCTTCTTATCACTGAATATTTTGAGCCGGGTCACTATTCAGGAAACCACAAAGTCTGCATTTTAGGATCCTTTAGGAGTTACCAAGACAGGCAGGTCGTCTATGACAGGAGCTGCTTTTGGTGGCGGGCATCAAACTTTCCACTCGCTCTCGTCCCGTGGGCAGGAATAAGGACACCACCCGGGATGAATTCATCTTCTACTCGAAGAGGCTGATGCGCATGCTCATCGAACACGCCCTGTCCTTCCTGCCTTCCCAGGTAGGCCGTGCGTGGTTGTGTGCGTGGGTGTGAGTGTGTGCGTGTGAGCTGGCGTGAGAGTAAGGCTGTAAACTGCAGCCCATCCGCCGGCATGGAAACTTTGTAACCCGCCGAAAGAGATTGGGCCCAGACACTCATTGCGGTGTGAGATCTTATTATAGAAACCGGCGCTGGCGTGGAGGTCTGAATATCCTGCTCCACGACGCTGCGCTTCTAGGTTACATTCAAAGTAGGGTGTAAATTGGGTTGCAGGCATGACCTTCTGCAATTTAATGGAAAGGTTTGTGTTTTATTTTCCTCTGACCTGTGGCCCGCGTGCATCAATACGGCTGCCCCCATTGTGTTACGGCATCCCTACCTCTGCACCCTCCAGCCCCACGTCGTCAAGACCCCCCAGGGACACGACTACGAAGGGAAGACTTTCCACGGGAAGAGGGTGAGTGTCCTGAGCATCACACATCCCCTCGCTTTTCATTTATGTCGTTCGGACTCCGGATAGCTGAATGAGAAACAAAATAAAAATTGATAAATCCTTTATTTGCCGTTTGCACAAGTACGAGTGCAGGTTCAGGTTCACCGGAATGCTTCTCTTCACCTGGCCCATCTTGCTCTCCATAGCTGGGGGGTCACAGCACAGGGTCAACCATCATGCGGTGTCTCTGGAGCTGGGGATTAGGGGCCTTTGCTCAAGGCCCAGGGGAGTGTGATTGTTCTTCCACAGCCGAGGCTCGAACAGAGACTTAGCCTGCTGAATAATTCTGTGATTGTGGTAATAAATCTGGAGCTGGACCTGAAATCATGTAGGAAGCGTCGGCCTCTCCCCGTCACCACGCCCTCTACGTCCCCCTCGCACCCTGGACGGCGTGTATTGGTGCTCTTGTCTGATTCCGCTCCATCCTCTCTCTCTCTCCGTTCTCCAGATCACAGGAGTCTCCATCCTGCGTGCGGGAGAGACTATGGAGCCGGCGCTCCGGGCTGTGTGCAAGGACGTCCGCATCGGCAAGATCCTCATCCAGACCAACCAAGACACAGGAGAACCAGAGGTGCCTAGCTGAACCCACCCGGAAACTGAACTCGGGAGTGTTTCTGGATCACCGGCCCAAATGCTGCGTTGCTCATTTTAAATATGAAAATTTAGCTATTTGACTGTTACGTTATTTCCTAAGAAGCTGAGACTGGAGACAAAATCAGCTCCAGCTGGAAAGCTTGGTGTCAGTCCTCCTCCAATGGGGTGATGAACACGTCTGATTGGGCCGCAAAAGCCAAACTGTAGTTCCGGTCCCCACCTGTGCCACTGACCCCTCCCCCCTTCTCCCCCCCCCCCCGCCCGCCATTAGCATATATGTCCTGTGCATCACAAGCAATTACATTCTCAAATCAGCCTACTGTAGTGGACTAAATCTTCTCATTGGTAATCTTTCACAGACTATTGTGAGAAGTAAAAGAAGATTAAGTTATTAAATTCCTGGTAATATATTTTCTTTTATTTGTTCAGTGACTAAAAGGGAACAAATGGCCTAAATAGGACAAACTGGAAACCAAGCGAAGTTGCTTTGCTGCATTTTTGATTCTTTGATTTGGATAATGAAAGTTTTTAGATTATAATTAGGGATCATGTGCCAAATGTAACTTGCTGCAAGCGTGCAGTAATCATGTATTATTTGTAATAGAGCTCACTGTACTGTGTGATGAAGCTGTGACTTATTTATATATTGTCATATGCTGTTAGTCACCAATTTTAATAAAAGTAACACGCTCCTAACAATGATGAAACTGCAAACTGTGTAATTGAAAAAAAATGGTGGATTTTATTTACAGAAATAAACTTTATTCTTTATTATTATAATTTTTTCTGATGCATATTATTCAGCAGTGTTTTACGGTCATGATTTCATGCACCTCTGTCTCTCAGACACACACAGACAGTCCTCCAAGCCACATTACTGCAGACCTTCCGTGGGACAGCTGAAATAGAGTAGCCAGGATTTATACTCAAGTTCTGTATGAGGAAGGCAAGCATACAACATGATAATTGCTGGTATTTTTTGTCCTTACATTTACATGCACTATATGTGATTAAAAATAAAATATTGTAGTTTCCATTCAGAGCAGAATTTTTTTCCTATTGTGGCCAGACATCATTTATTAATAAGTGGGTCCGTTTCATAACGTTACTTATCACCACGTTCCCCCCCGACCAGGCCTGAGGCCGGGCCTAAATTGAACTGTTTGCAGAGAAAGGCAGGAGATTCTTCACTTCATAAACAAAATGTCAAACCCACTGCTGTTATGGTGGGTGTCTCCTCACGGCTAAGGAGCCTGACAGCTCTTCTGGTTGAAATTTAATGCTCCGGCTGGTTATCGATCCACAGTGCAGCTGGCGGGCAGGACGGCGGAAGGTTGGCGGGGGTGGGGGGTGGGGGGGGGGGGGGGGGGGGGGGGGGGGGGGGGG